TTATAGGACCAGCTCTGAAGTTTTGGTGGTTAAGGCAGCCAGATCCCACATGATTGACCCTGCAGTTCAAGCCCTGGACCTGAAAGCTTGAAAAAAAAAATAACCTCCAGGCACATGTGTATACATGCCCCAAATCCTGAAGGATAGAGAAATGGAGGAGAAGGGATGGTGCGACCAGGCTCGATGGTAGGTGGTTTCTTTTTCTCCCTCTGTTGTCTGTCTCTCCCTGGTAAGTACACATACCCTCTGACAAAATTATTTTTATATATTGGCTATAAAGAACTTAGCAGAAATGGAAAGATTCAAAGATGTAATAGCAGAGAAGACAAGTATAGGTACCAGAGACTCTGTGGGAGGGGGTGGATTGTGGAGGGCAGGTGAGAGGGTGAGCGCTCAGCAAAACCTTTAACGGACGCGAGACTGTAAGGCTCTGTTGAAAATGATGTATGTAGCAATATCCCTGACTTGATTATCACACACTGCATGCATGCTTTGAAACACCATATTGTATGCTAAAAATATTTATGACAATTAAATGTAAATAAGAAAATATAAAGTTAAAAAAATTAAAAAAAGAATTTATAATCTCAGTTCACATGCTTAGTTATCTTGGTATCTGACCACCTGAGCAGATCATAAGCAATTTAAAGGCAGAGTCCACCTCTTCTCTCTCCACTGGCCTCTACCATATAGCTGTAACTTAAGTAATGTCCTTTTTGACCTCTCTGAGCCATTGTGTTCAAACTGTTAATGCTGGACCACATTACCCACATTGTAGTTACCTGGGATACACTCTGAACTTTGTTTTCCCAGCTCTGTCTGAGGTCAACGGAATGAGAATCACTGGGATGAAGTCTAGAATTTTATCTTTAACAAGCATCCAAGGTGATTCTAACACATACTAAATCACGGTTCTAATTTATATAGATTAACCAGTATTGCATGTTTTGCTTTGTTATTATTTTGGCTAGTTAATAATATAAAATTTTGAGAGCTATCTCAAAATCTGAACTTTGTGGAAGTCTTTCACCCAAGATCTCACAAAACTTTAGGAATTTATTTAGATTTCTGGGCCCTTCCTAGGCTATGTTCCAGTTTTTATGTTCAGGACTGGATCACGTGTTGAAGATGGACGGAGGGAAAAGTTTTGTCTGCGGAGACATCTGCTCGAGTGAATCCGTTATGATGGCTATTGCTGTGACTTGCTGCCTGAGCTTCGTAAAGAGGCTGAAGATTTTCTAAGAATAGAGCTGCTCCAATTAGGTGTGATCTCTAGAATTATGAATATATTACTTTGGCTTCTTTCCTATCTAGTGTACTGGTTTCCATATTAAGTGGAAATTATATGCAAGTAGAACAGGTGAAAGAAACCCCTAGATACGCAGCCTTCTCTTTATACGTGCTCTGCTGATATGTCCCAGAAGAAATAGCAAAAGGCATGAAGAAACTAATTATTTCTAATTAATCTTATTTGTCAGAGTGATTATACACATTTGTTTGTTAGAAAGATACAGTCTCATGTCCATTTATTACTTGAATATCATAAAGTACATAGTCGTTTAGGTTAAACACTTTATAGTAGAAGAGTGTAATTATTTTTATCCTCATAGTTACTTGGAGAATTTGGTATTGTATAATGCAATATCATATCATGCCAAATTAAGAAGCATGGATTTTTTTATTATCATTTCCCATTTAATTTATTGGACTACTACTCTTGGTAACTAATATTTATATAGATAGCAATGATGTTACTATTCTAGGAAGATACACTTTAGGCTTCTTCATAATAGTAGATTTAATCTGGACTTAGGTTGTGCATTTAAAAAATTGTGTTTATTTATGTTGGCCCCCTGGCACCCAGCACTGTGTCTGACATGCAATAGCTGGTCAGTAAGTATTCATAGACCTGTTTGAATTTCGAGTCATTTCCAAGAGTAGGGATTTTCTTTTCAACCCTGGGATCTTCGTTATGTCATAAAGTAATATGGAGAGATGCTTGTAAATTATTATAGCATATTTTTGACTAGATTGTTTTCACTTAGCATGTCTCACTAATTCAGAAGCCATGTGAAAAACAATAAATCTGAAGGTATCTCTTTCAAGGCCTTATAATAAAAATGAGATTGTGATGACAAGGGATGACACACTCAAGGAGATTCCTTTTTTTAGTTCGTAAGTAATCAAATTAATCATGTCAATTGATATCAGTTGATATCAAACTGATCATATATCAGTTCTTTATGTAAAATAAAGGTTACTTCTTGGGAAAACTTTGTTTGAGGGCCCCAAATTCATGCCTATAACTCTATACTAATAAATGACCATTAGAAGAAATCAAGAAGATTTTTCTTCCATAATTTCTACCTTCCCCACGATTCATCTTGGAAGCAGCAAAGGCAGTTTTGCTGTATCTTTTTCTAGAATGCATATAGTCTTCCTCCTTTCTCTTTGTTCAGCTGCATTCTCCACTCTCTTTGCCTCTTGTGCATTGCCTAGGCTGAAGGTGTAGGACAGACAAATTCCCCAGTAAAACTCCAACACCCTGGAGCTATGATAGCCATATTTGGTAGTTATATGAATTCTTCTTTCAGTAGAATTGTCAATCATAAAATTTTAGAGCTTCAAATTATATTAGTAATCATTAGTACAACCATTTTACCAATGCGGACTTTGGGGCCCAGAAAGGAGCATTAGTCAATGACCCCCTATTAGTGATTTTAAAATAAAGGAGAACTTAAATTAAAATTTCTCATCTACATATGGTCTATTCACAGTCATTTAGAAGCATGGTCAGCACACAGCTAGAGTTCGTTATTCTAAGTGGCACTTGACAGATATCAGATAAAAGAAAAGAGTCATTTTAGATATATTTTGTTATTTGCTTTGTCTTTGATTGATTTTTGCCATTGTTCTATAGTGACTGGGTACAGGGAAGTTCAAAGGTTAATACACCTTTTTGATTATGGTTTACGTTAGAACCCAGAACTTGCACATATTTCTATTTTCCTCCTTTCTGAACTCCAAAGTTCATAAGGAAAACAACAACAAAACTGTATGGGAAAAACACTTTAGATATATGTTACTTAACGTAATGTTCAGTTCTTAACAATATACAACTGAAAATGAAATCATATTTAAGTGTATTAAGGAATTTGGTATTGAAGGGGATATTTTTTTAAAAAGAGTTATTTTATTTAACTTTATTTATCCATTTATCTTTTAATTTGACCAGAGAGGGACAGAGTGAGAGAGAGAGAGAGAGAGAGAGAAGTGAGCAAACAAGCTGCCAGGTCTGGGACTCAAACTGTGGTCAGCCACATGAGAGTCCAGTGCCCTTAACTACTGCACCACCCACTGACTCCTTAAAGAAAATTCCTCTAAGAGTTGTTTCGTAAGCACATAATAAGAACAAGTTATAATATCTGAGTATCTAGATTTTCAATTATTGGACATATGTAAAATATAGTATCACTATAATGTCTTCCTACTGAAACTAGTAGCATGGTTCACAAGTTAAACCAGAAGCCTAGTTCAATTTTGCCTTTAATGCTAAATCCTATATAGTAACACTAAATCATCTTTGGCATTAGTGAAAATATGTGAGACCAGTTAGTGTTTCCCAAACAGTAAAGAAACAGAAGCAGAATCTTAGCTCCATTAATTTATTAAAGATTTATTTTACTCACTTACACAAGCAAGCAAGCATAAATGGAAATTAGAAAACACCCAAGATGTAGAGATATACCAGAAATACAGTGGTGTGGTGGAAGGAACTGGGGAACTGGGTGTGATAAGGCAGTTCAGGCCGTGTGTGCTGAAAGGCTCAGGACAGTCAAAACCTCAAACACAGAAACACTTTCAGGTCTATACTGACTTGGTGAGTGAACCGTTCTGAATGTGTTCAAGTCATTCTGCAGACTTGAAGTGTGAGACTGTCATCCTTTGCACATCTCCCTGGAAGCATCCACCTCTCCAGTCATGACAAGTTGTATATGTGAGCCCAGTCGGGATCTTCCTGAGCAGGGCCGAGCAAGGATACCAGAACTGCTATCCCTGGAAAGTCTGTCCTAGTCATTTGGCAGTAAGTCCAGAGATCCCTTAAACCTGCTGAAGTGAGTACAGGTACCTCTATAATGGCTTGTTTACAACCTCTAGGAGAATCAGAGCTCCTAGAGAAACCCTTTAAACTCAGAAACCCATCATCTGCTGGGCCCAGACCACGTTTATGGGTTGACACATGACATGGCTAAGTTGTCCTCACTTTTTGTCTACGAAGTTTTGTACAGTATTTGCAGGCTCAGAATCATTCTGTTGCCTTGGTGCCACATACTCATGTGCAGTTTCTGATGCTATGACCTTACCTGCTTTAGTCAATGTTCCTCAAACTTGTTCTTTCATATACATTCACATTTCTTACTCACGTTTTTGATGTATATAGATAGTATCCTCAGTATAATTAACGGAATATTTATAAGTCAACTGAAATTTACTTTAAAAGGAAATTTTAAGTTACTACAATAGAAAATGAATACCTCTGGTCACAAAAAGAAGATAGCCACAAACATACATTGTACGAAATCCAAATAATGCCATTGCATTCTAGATGGACGGTGTCTGTCCGGTCACAATCTTCTTAGTCTAAATATAAACGAACAAATAGAAAGTCTGTCTGCTCCAGCGGGAATGGGGTTGTGGGAGAGGGAAAGAATAGCAGGTCAGCACTTCAGAAGTGGAATCCCACTGCTATTCATTTATCGAGTAGGAGGGTGTGATACGGGAAGCACAGGACTGAACGCGGACCTGAGTTACACAGTCACAATCGCTGAATAGCGATCATCAGCGACAACCTGCCTTTGAACCTCCGTCCTTTCCTACCTACCCCCTAAGTATCCGCCAACACAGGGACGTGCCCTGCAGAGCCGAACTACAGGCCCCACAATGCGCCGCGCGGCGCCAGGCATGGCAACCGCCGCCCGCGGCAGCTTTTTCTCCGGCCCTCCTACAACTCCCACAAGCCCCCTCGGTCCTGGGCCGCGGCCCGGCCCGGGGTGGAGGTGGAGGCGGAGGCGCGGGAGTTATGGAGGGGGCGGGCTCTGCAGGGAAGTGCGTCAGAGGAGGCGCGGGGAGAGTAGGGTGCTGTGGTTTGAGCTAGAGGGTGAAGCTGGCGGAGCAAGACGATGGGCGGTGAGTGAGCGGGGCCGACCCGGCGGGCGGGGGGCGCACCAGCCTGACGCTTCCGGCGGCCTGCAGAGGGTCCCCCCCCCCAG